ACCTTATGGAAAGTGGTAACCGTCGCCTATAGACATGAGCAGTACCATGCACATAACAGAGTATACTGTTTCGCCCATGATACCCTCATGCGTTGCCATTCTTGAGGTCTCAGATGTTATTCCTCTCTCTTTTCTCTTTTCATTTGAGAGTTTCCCCTTGTCGGTGCAACTAATTCATGCGTCTTCTTCCAGCCAGCTCTATCCCAGGCTATATCCTTGACCTCCCTATACGGCATGACACCTAGTGTTCCCTTTATCTGTCCCATGTAGTTATTCCTCGGTCTTCCTCTTCCTCTTTTGTTCTCTATTTTCCTTCTACTATACTCTTAAAACAATCGTTATGTTGTATAAGGTGGCCCAGCATTTTATTCCTCTGTACCCAGTAAATTCACGCTATATCCCACCCTTCAAACCGAAACACAGCCATGTAAACACAACTGTTTTACGGTAGAAACACGAATGGGACAGAGGTACCCAAGCAATCGACTTTTGTACAAAGTTTCCCTCTGGTACATCCATATCTGACTGATATGGGTGATATCGAAATCGGTGATAACCTTTTTCCCACTATAAATGGCCAGAGGGACCTAAGCTATAGATTTCGAAATGGTATCCATATCACATCATGCCTTTGTCTAATATATGTTTACGTCAAAACAAAAGGAAGTCTAATTATAAAATAAAATATATTTAATTTAATAAATTTTATAACATTTTTTTTTACATTTTGTCACATGAAATTACAAATAAATATTTTAACACACACTAAACAATGTTCCTAGCAGTGTAGTATAGTAGCATAGAATAAACCACCCCTTCCTTTCCCGTGGATGTCCTAAGAAGCGACTAAAGGAATTTAATAGTAGAGGGATGGACAGCAACATTCCTGAAACGTCACCAAAGTCTAACTGCGGTTGCCAATCTGCCTATCAAGTGTCACAACTACTGGCAAAATCTCTCAAGAGGGAGGACTATGTCCAGCAGTGGACAGATAACGGCTAATAATGATGAACAATGTTTAATCACTTAAAGTTTTGTTACACATTCATAGTTACTTACACTGTTTGGATAAGTAGTACTTTAAATTATTTTTATGTTAAAACCTTTTTTTTTTCACTTGTGTACTAAATATTTTATTTTCACTTAGTGGATTTTTTTAGTTATGTAGTTCCTACACTACGGAATATAATTTATAATTTTAATTTAATTTATAAAATAAAATATACATTATTTTATGTTGGTTAAATTATAGTTTTAATAATCTCTGTAATAAAACATTATTTATTTTCAAGTTACTTCAAAAATAAATCTATTTTTTATAAAAAAAAGTATAAATAAAAATTTTACTAGAAAATAAAAAATTAAATTCTGGAGAGGACCACTCTTAACTAATAGGGGTATAAAAATAGTCTACGACCTACTCTCAGACCTACCAAATATACACAAAAAAGTTTATAAAAATCAGTCAAATGAAATAAAAACACAACAAAAATCTAATAAATATGCATATATATGTAAGTTATACACCTCATTACATCAATTTTTATTCCACAAATGATTTATTTTCGTAATTCTCACTACAATAAAAAAAAAGCATTATTTATTGTTCATGTCTTTTATAGAATCTTTTGTAGAACAAAATAAGACAGTAAACAGTGGCAGTAAACAAGCTCGCAAGTCTGAATACGACGAGCAAAGGAGCTTATTCCGGAAACTGGAACACCGAATAAGGCGGTTGAAAATGAACCCTGTACCAGTGTACCGAAGCCAGATGTATGCTAGTGCTAGCAGGAAAAATACAACCGGCTTCAGTATGACTCATTCTAAAGTTTAAAACCACGCCAGCATGCTTACGTTTATATTATTCAGTTCATAAAACTTTTTAGGTTTCAGATATTAGTAACTTTTTACAATATATACATTTAAGATAAGTAAATAATAATCATCGTCATGTCAGCCATTCCTTATAGCAGTTTACTTGTGGCGTTTGTAAATAAATATTGTACATATTCATCTCATAGCCACTTATCAACATCATTGCTTGGGTACCTCTATCCCATTCGTGTTTCAACCGTGAAGCAGTCGTGTTTGCATGGCTGTGTTTCGGTTTGAAGGGTGGGATATGGCGTGAATTTACAGGGTATAGAGGAATAACACCTGAGTCCTCAGGAATGGCAACGCATGGGGGGTATCATGGGCGAAACAGTATATATATATATATATATATATATATATATATATATATATATATATATATATATATATATATATATATATATATATATATATATATAAATTATATACCTGTCTGTCTATATTGCTATCATAAAAAACACACTCTTCAAAAACTTTCCACGAGAGTAAGCACAATCAAATTTCTCATTCCAGTCCAGAACAATAAATACTTATTTGTGAGAGCATACACGATTTTCCCTTTGACGTAAATTGTACATCGTACGAGTAAACTATTCTTAGTTCGTTAAGTCCTTGTTATAACTTTAGTTTGAATTTGGCATTTTCCAAGTATCTCCATTCCCTTGGCAGTGGCTCGGAACTCTAATTAGTAGGAAATGTTTTGTATTACTATCACTGCCTATTTGTAGTGCCGTTCACAACTTAAATTATATGTTTGAGTTACAAGTTTCTATTATTAGTGTCAAACAGATTTAAACTTATGACTTAACCGTAATTTTTTTAAAGAAGTTTATATAAAAAAATAGAAACAATAATGCTGAGTGGCGGCCATGTTAGCAATTACAAATGTAAAGTTTTTTTTTTTTTTCTGTTGATAATTGATATAACTCTTTTTGTTGTTGGCAATAAATGTTTTGTTTCTTTCTTTCTAACTAAAAAAAAACAATGTTACGTGTACGGCGAAAGTACACAGAGGCGTTTCACTACATTGTCTTATAGTATTTAGATTGAGAAATAAAATCACCAATTGGCCGTGTGGTCCCGGCATAGGATAGGCTACCCCTTTCTTTCTCGTGGATGTCGAAAAAGACGACTAAAGGACGGCGAGAAATCGACAATAGCGTCCCCTTTAAAACATCTTTAAAGCCTGTATGCGATTGCCAATCCGCCTGCCAAGCGGGGCAACTAATGGCAAAACCCCCCAAGGGGGAGGCTTATGTATATAATAATGTCGGATAAAAAACCACTCAGATACAAGGAAAATACCAGCATCAGACAAAGCAAAACATTTTTTTGTATACAACTTAGGCAGTGGCAGACCAGCTGACGGCCCACCTGATAGAAAGTGGTAACCGTCGCCTATGGACATGAGCAGTACCATGAACATAACTCTGTTATGTATAGTATAGTGTTTCACCCATGATACCCCCCATGTGTTGCCATTCCTAAGGACTCAGTTGTTATTCCTCTGTACCCTGTAAATTCCCGCCATATCCCACCCTTCAAACCGAAACAGTGCACACCGAACCGAAACCATGCAAACACAACTGCTTTACGGTTGAAACACGAATGGGACAGAGGTACCCAAGAAAACGACTTTTGTACAAAGTCTCCCTCTGGTAAACATTAAAAACATATTAAGCTTACAATTATGCATTGCTATTTCTGAGTGCTACGACATTATGTCCATGTACCTTGTAATTTCACTGCCATATCCCACCCTTCAAATAGGTTTCTATTAAGCCTGCAATGGCTGTTCAGTCATGCTAGCACTTAGCAGTGACTCAGACATAAAGGATGCTTCACGGTAACACGAATGACTGAGTCAAATGAATGATTGAAATAACAGGAATAAATAAAATAGCTAGTATTTATCATTGCGCAGAAGTGTATGTAAATGTTATTGTAATTATAAATATAACTCCATCTAGTGACAGTGAAAGGAACTAATTGATCTTGACTCCTGTACTTTCTGTGATTCCTGAATAAAACAGCTGAACAACTGAAGTTTTCTCTGACACCTATAGAGAAAACTTCAGTATCGCCGTCTGTTTTTAAAAAGTTTACAGCAATTTCAGAAAAATTATGTCAAGTGACATCTGTCGGAAACCCTACGATTCATTTACTAGCTTGAATAAGTAAGCTTGAGTAAGTTTCTCAATTTTTATTGTTCACTTGAAAATAAAAAAATATCTTGGTGGATATTTTTTTCCAATAGTGCTTTATATTTCTATCCTTATTAAGCGATTTTAAAAAACAGCAATTGATTTTATTAAATATGAGTAAAAAATAAAATTTAATTTCGTTAGACTTTGAACATTGAAGATTAAACAGGTTTTTAAAATATCTTTTAGATCGTGTCATAATCGTTAGGGGCACTAGAAACTGTTTTAGAAATAATAATAAATACTACAGAAATATGATTTATTTATTTATTAATTATTTTATATATATATATATATATATATATATATATATATATATATATATATATATATATATATATATATATATATATATATTTTGTAATATGGTCAATAAAGAGATGATCATATTACAAAAAATGTTGAGTACAAAAGACGAACTTAACCTTTTTATATACCATTCTCTTCCAATTAATTAATATTTTCATTATTATTATTTCAAGATTTTCACCGTTATATTCTTTGATAAATAACCAACTGTAATACCTAGAACTAAGTATTTTTAAGACAAAATATGCAAATTCTGTGTTTTTTTTTATACAACTTAGAATAGCAAAAAAGCTGACGGTCCACCTGATGGAAAGTGGTAACCGTCGCCTATAGACATAACAGAGTATACTGTTTCGCCCATGATACCCCGTGCGTTGCCACTCCTGAGGACTCAGGTGTTATTCCTCTGTACCCAGTAAATTCACGTGGTTCTTCAAACTGAAATTCTTCGGTTACTTTCAAGCAACAGACATTCAACAAGTTTCCATTCTCAATTTCTATCTATAAGTCTATTCAACCGTAAGACTAACTCCTTTATACGTACATATATGAGACGCAGACGGTTGAGTACTAAGTAATGGGTAAAAGCTAGATATAAATAAAACAACAATATCAGGAAGTATAAGTTATAATAAAAGTTCATAGTATAATTAAATTACAGCATAAATTTTTCAGTAATTATATAACTAGCACAGTGTACGAAATACATTTTCTTGATGTGAGCATTATTATTTATTATATTTAAGATACAATAGCTTATTCCAGTACAAATGTCAGTTTGCTCTATTTAAAAATGATAATGATATTTTCTGTATGAGCCATACTTCAAGTCTTCCCCATAAATCAAGTATGTCCCATACTTAAAGGTGGAGATGATATTTTTCTATAATTAATTTGTTTATTTGCATCAACACGCATATAGTGGCATTCAATTATTATAAAGTCCCTAAATCTGTACTAGACGCTTGTGCGTATTACATAAAATTTGGTCGAAGCTTCAGAAGTGCAATGACTTATCATTATTTGTGTAAATTTCCCCATTTTACACATCGTATCGTTATATAAGAAGTACCTAAGAAGACTACACGAGATCTTAAACGAAAACCTTAACTCGACTCACAACTGTCTCTCATTGAAACTTTAAAGAAAGCATTTCGTCCGCACCACAAATTATAACTAGATATAATTGAAAGTCTTATAATTACCTCGTTATAGTTATAGAAAGCGATATCGAAGCTTCCCTCCTTCCTAATTACTATCCAATCTACTCGAAATTCAGATCACTCCTCATCAGGAGATGGTCCCCGTAAATAAATTTTAGCTTAGATATAAGCTACACTTTATATTTCTAAGGCAGGGAATCACAAAATCTAGCTTTTACTTACAAGGAAATCTAGAAAAGAAGAGTAAATCTGAAATAGTGTTCTTATATTAATAATCGACTTACTAAACTATCGAACTACAAAATTTGCCAAAAAGCGATCTTTCACCTAATGCTAAAAAAGCTAAATTTCTCCCTATTATATGTCTATTCTTTAAATTATGAGTATATTAGAACTGTGCATTATATCTAATAATAAAAAGTGACTTAATATTTGAATGGTGAACGTGAATATACTATTTAAATGTTTAACTGTTTTAAATCTAACAATGTGCTTCATTAACTTATTTAGGTAAATTTTATACTTCATGAAAGATAAAAAGTAAATCATTGATATTATGAATAGAGGCACTTTTAAAGTGGCTGATTTTATGACAGATATATTAGTGCATGACATTATTGCTATACAATTAATGGATGAATATAAGCCTAATTTAATGCTGAACAATTGGTAAATATTATCACAAATACGGTAAAACTGGACTGAATGTTTTTACAATTACTTTTGTTCAACTTTGAATACAGACTTTGCGTTCCCTGATTACACGTTAGAAGCATCGTTACTTAGCTTTATATCTAATATACTTTTCTTTTTATCATCATTTTGAACTATTCGATTTCTACCTTTTCTTCTAAGTGTTTTTGTGATTTTAGCTTTTTGTTTAGTTATAATATGAATGTCTTTTAGATTTTACGAATCTGGGGCTCGTATTTCGACAGTAACCGAAGTAGGTCCAGTTGTAGTCGGCGAACGAAGTGTTGCTGATCTCAATGATGTAGCTGAATGTCCACTGCTTGCTCTTGAACCTCGGCGAGAACCTAAAATTAAAGGTTTTCATTAAAAGTAGATAAGTGTTAAATCGCTTTGTTTTTGCTTTGAGCAAAATTCGTAGCATGATGTCAAATGAAACATGCTGAGTCATCAAAAGTTTCTTCCGCTATCAGATCAAAGGTATATGATTTTTGAAAAAGTATTTTCGTGAAAGCCGGGTTTAGAGAGATGGTACTAACGCTATCTAATAGGCAATTTATTTCATTCCAAATGCAAAGCAAGATTTCCTGTTACAGTACGGTTACTTTATCATTGAAAGAGTAAATTACCAGCATTGTACAAGAAAAGGAAATTAAGTTACTTGTTCCAATGATCTTCACATGCAAGTCGTCAAATTACTGGAAAAAAAATTTAATGCAATTTCTTGAAGAATTTTTCAACTATTCGAGCTAATCGTTATTATAAAAATATCTAATTTTTTAACAGGATTGTGTGTAATGTATAAATAAGTTATCTATAATATTCTAATAGTCTTATTATAATATGCAATCCAAAATAATGTGAATGCTAGCATCTGATATAAAACATACTTTTCCAAAGATTATGGTGAAAACGACGGTATGTGATATATAGTATACATGACAAATGTTTTAGATGTATATTGTAATCAAGGTATATTTTAGCTTAGTCTATTGTAAGTATATTTCTTTACATATATACATAATTATCACGCATGTCTCCCATTAGCGTAGACAAAAATAATATTTCTTTTATTACATTGAATGTACCTACATTGATATCAATATTTGTTTCTTAAACATTAAATATAGTATAAATAATGTAAATGTATGTAATTTATCTGCAGAGTAAGTTACATGAAAATTTTCTATAATATTTAATTGTTAAATCCAACATAAAAATGTTGAATTTAATAATAATGACGATAAAACAGATACGCATCTAAAACATTAATCAACAAGTGTTGTTTATGGTTGAAAATAATAATGCAGCAGATTAAGCAAAATTAAAAATAAATGTAACCTGAGGGTTTTCGGTGTAACTGATGGCTTTGGTGATGGAGTGCTGTTAATAAATGAAATATTTATGAATAACATCAATAATAAGGATTTGAATACAAAAAATAAACAAAACGATGATTTGAAAGAAACACACAATAATACTAATACGCGTTGTATAATAACTTATATATTTGTTAATGATTTTGATAATGATATTGATAATAGTAGTGATGATATCAATAAACATAACACAATATTAGTAACAACGCCGATTTCAATTATAAATACTATAGTAGCTCTTAGTTATTTTATAATTAGACATATAATAAACAAAATACTGTGTAGTTTTGTCAATATAGATAAAAGTAAAAGGTGATTATAATGAAACTGAATAGAACAGCCATATTATTTTAAATAAATCATTTGGCTTTAGAATTACAATATTATGAGCAAAGTATAACGTTATATTGTGATTTATTTGACGTTTTGGTCTATATTAACTTATAGGCTTTCACTTTGTATAATTTATAAGAAATATCGCCTCAATTTGATTACTGTCCTTTGTAACCTGGACAAGAAGTCGAGATAACTTAGATAAATTATTATATTTGACCTAATTGGTTGCGTTAATTACTGTCTCTTGTAAATCTTGTCTTGATCAGATACTGAAGTTGACGAAATATATATTTTTTTTTTTCTATAAAGAAGACTAAATTAGATTGAATTTGATACCTGGACTTGGTGAATGCGGCCGCAATTCTTGTTGACTAGTCTGTCTCGATGGTGGCCGAACGCTTACACGAGATCCACGACGATCCTAAAAATATTTTAGTATTAATTCCTCCATTCATATAGCCAGATATGAGTAAACCTTGTCAATTTAAATTTTACAAATATGTGTTTCATGTGCGTTTCATGGTATATACCATGAAACCATTGCATAACTGCTGGTAAATTCGTCACGATCAGCCGAATGTCCATCTTCACAGGTATTTCTTTCTATATTATCAGTGTATCAATAACTCAGGTGGAATCCATTCCATTTTAATTCGTTACAAAACATCCAATATTATAAAGAAAAAAGTTTGATTGTTTGTTTGTAATTAATAAACTGTCATCACCTATTGAAAGCTATATTATCAGCATGAGCTGTATTTTATTTAAAAAAAAATCATACGAATCCAAGACTGGAAGACTTTTTTTATATAACTATCTTTAAAAACTTTTATATTTGCATTATTAGTTATAATATTATCATCGTACTTTTTAGTATAAAAAAAAATTTAACCGACTTCAAAAAAATAAAGATAGTTCTCAATTCGGTTGATTTTTTTATCTTAGTTAGTTCATATCTCCATCAGTTGTAAATTTATTTGGAAAATTCTTTACTTATCTGAAGGGATATGCTTACAGATTAGTCTCAGAGAAATTTTATCAAAATCAGTTCAGTTGTTTAATTTTTAGATCAAAACAACTGGTTTTGTCACAATTGAAGTTGGTTTCTTTTCGTGTGACACAATCTTCAATTACTTTTGTTCTAATATATGCCATAAAAGCAAATCCCATAAAAGGCATGTAACAATCTATAACATATTTACCTGTGCGTGTAATAGCTTAGAATCTCTCAATAAGGACACATTCATTAGCCTCGGATTTGGAGTGTTGAAAATTGTGCGATTCTCCCTCCATCTTGCTCTGAAAATTAGACACAATTTATGTAATAGGTTGTCTGTAAGAGATTGCCCTAGCGATAAGACCGCCTTTTGTACCTTTATGTGTATATTTCAATCTGTATTTATGTTACTGTATTTCATTTGAATTATTCACTTGTCATTGTATATTTTTATTTATGGTGCAATAAAGAGTTAAATAAATAAATAATATATTGGAATGAAATATATGTATATGTATGTATGTATACTGGTTAGTTGGTAGACAATGCCATATAGCATTAAGCTCGCCATTTCTACAAATTTTATTATTCAATAAAGAATGAATAAATGAAAGCCGTAGTTAAAAATGCTTAAATGTCCTTCTTGTAAATATAATAAAAATTACTATAGTATTACAACTTTAGATAAAGATAAAGAGATAAAAAAAAGTATTTTTTTCTCACTAGATTTGTCTTAGAAAACATTCTCTCAATGCCAGTGTAAAATGTATAAAGACTAATTAACATATTGAATAATTTTTTTTTTACTAGCTTTATGCTTATTAAAACATAAATTCACCTGCTGAACAGCCGAAGAACAACGCAAATAATAACGAACATCAGCGCCATGCCAACGAGGACCCCAATCATAGCTGGATCCAGGGTCCTTATTGGAGTCTCCGGGCTCTTATCCGCTGAAAATGAGAAAAACTGAGTTTTAGACTCACATAACATACAGAGCACATCATAAAAAATAAAAAAATATATCATCAAATACAAATTCAAATTCAAGATTAACTTTATTTAAATAAGCTTATTATTTATAGGTATATATATATATATATATATATATATATATATATATATATATATATATATATATATATATATATACATTTACATTATAGGACATTTAACATCAATCTAAGGAGGAAAAACTTGAAAATAAACTCTATTCCAACTCATATAACCCGTGTGGTTTACAGTACAATTTGTTCGACCTACGTGATCAGTAAAATTTTTATAGTGAATGAATGAGTTTATTTGCATTATACAATATAGGAAATAAACAAGACAATTAATATAACTATACAATTGTATAAGTACAGTAAGACAGTCTTATTGCTGAGAGCAAAATAAATAAATGGACGAAATTGTTGTGTCGTATTATTATTTGTAAATAGCATACATGGATCAATAACACCAACTAGATTCCAAAATGACCAAACGAATAAGGTCTCACTTACAAAGTGAGTTTCCATTTTAAAACAACTTCAAAAGTTCAGAAATATCAAAGCGTCGGATTTGGGAATATTTTTTTTTTTTTAACAGTTTTAGCAGCAAACTTTAATATTATAAAAGGGCCAGCATAAAAGATTACAGATGTCGCAGTGTTACAGGTTTCTCTGTCAGAAAAACTCATCTCTGAATACAATAAATACCTAAGATCTTATCGTCACTTAAGATCAGATGAGATTATAGTCAAATAATAAAAAAAAAATCACTTTTCATAGTTATAAAGTTGTATTTTTTTTATTGAATGAAAATGGAGTGGTAACCCCGCCTACGCTAATGGGATACGCTGGCGGGGCACCAGTGAAGGGTGATCGATGAGAATGGAAACAGGCCCATTAACCCATCATGATGAATTCATAAGGAATTAACCATGACAGTTTCCAGGGAGAACCGCGAGGAGGTCGACCTGGTTGGGTATATTGCTAGCAATGGGATTCTTAGTCTCCATTACTAACAATCCCTTTTCCAAATACAGTCGTATTACTTACCAGTACACGTGACACTGCCATCGACGGTAACTTCCGGTATCATATCAAATTTGCATACACATCTCTCATTCCGGCATTGTGTCTTAAAGTTAACATCCTCACATTGTTCGTTGAACGTGCACGTTTCGTTTATCGATGCAGCTGTAACAAATAATAATATTAAATAAATAAATAAATATATATGTGAAAATATTAAAACACAAAAATTTTATTACACTAAATATCCTGTGATTGAAAAAATACGAAGTGAGAAGGGTTTGAATCTGCCACTTCTACGCCATGTCAAGGTTGAAGCTTCATTTTCACTTCATTTTTAATGGAATGTTCAATCTCACCTGGGTTTTCTAAATCAAAACGAGTAATTCCGTAGGCAGTAATTCATCATATATATAAAAGTGTACATGTATATTTTTATACATAGGTATTAATATATAAATACTATATTAAATTATGAAAGTTCGTATATACGAAATTTACCTTCTTGTACTAAAATATAAATAATTTAAGTTTCTTTTTATACAACTTAGAGTGCAAACAAGTTGACGGCGTACTTGATGGAAAGTAGTAACCGTCGCCTATAGACATGAGCAGTACCATGAACATAACAGAGTATACTGTTTCACTCAAGATACCTCCCATGCGTTGCCATTCCTGAGGACTCAGGTGTTATTCCTCTGTACCCTGTAAATTCACGCCATATCCCACCCTTCAAACCGAAACACAGCCATGCAAACACAACTGCTTTACAGTTGAAACATGAATGGGACAGAGGTACCAAAGCAAACGACTTTTGTACAAAGTCTCCCTCTGATTAATTAGAAAGAGACTAACATAGCTGCGAAAAATCTAGCCATTTAAATGACTAATTTGATATAACTATCGGATATTGATCACTATAAATTTAAAATCTATTCATATCACGGTGTAGAGAATGTATTTATAAGCTGCTCTGATGGTTGCTTTCAAGAGGTTATTCAGGTCAGCGTTAGTGATTCACATTTCGTATTATAGGAGTAGCAAAGTCCCTAAAAAATAAATAAGAAAGATTCGAAATTCTTTTCTTTACTCGACTGTTCTTTGGATTAACACAGGATGTTTTCTATCGTAATACATGTAGACAAAGCCTCGACCTTCTTTTGGTTTAATACATAGGATATTTTTCATCTAAATAAATAGTTAAACAAAGTCGTGAGATATTTAAAACTAACCGTTTTTAAATATTGTTAATTTTAAATATTTAGTTTAAACTTCAACAGCCTTACTATAAAAAATTTACCTTGCTATAAGCAGTTGTGTTCGCATGGCTGTGTTTCGGTTTAAAGGGCGTGAATTTACATGGTACAGAGGAATGGCAACGTATGGGGGGTATTATGGGCGAAACAGTATACTCTGTTATGTCCATGATACTGCTCATGTCTGTAGACAACGGTTACCACTTTCCATCAGGTGGGTCGTCAGATTGTTTGTCATTCTAAGTTGTATAAAAAAGGGGCTTTCTCGTGTTCCGATGAGAAGAACAGAGCTAGTAAAATAGGCTCGTCTGCTCAACGGTGCCAGGAGCCAGAATCCGGACTTGGATATATTTATTAACTTGTAAACTTGTCGAGTATCGCAGAATAGCAATACATTATTTAGAAAGTGTCCAATAATTAAATGTTATTATGTTTGTTTATATTGTGATTGCTAGTGGAACAAATTGAGAAACTGTCAAGCTCCCTTAGTTGATAAATATAAATAAATAAATTACTATATCAACTAAACAATGCTTGAATTTCTGTTAAACTGTTTAGATGAGTAGTGTTTTAAATTATCTTTATAGTAAAACCACAAAGATAGAAATAACTTTTTTAATATAAAATCATTAAATAACAAATAACTCTAAGAATTCACTAAACTGGTTGCAATACCATTGTGTACTTATTTTAATAACAGCTGCATAATAAGTGATAGTAGTTAAAGAGCATATAACACGCGATAATAAATCGATTCATGGTACAACACGGGCGTTCCACTATCAAAATTATATACAGTAATTGTATATGTTTCAGTCAGAACTCTTAACCAGTTAAAAGTACTATTGCCTGAACAAGTTAGTCAAAAATGGTTTTGACTTATTGGTTATTAGGTCTGCAAATTTGGGTTTTTTATGGGTGAAAATGGTATGGTAACCTCGCCTGCGCTAACGGGATACGCTGGCGGAGCACCAGTGAAGGGTGATAGATGAGAATGAAAACACGCCAGTTAGCCCATCATGATGAGTTCATCAGGAATTAACCATGATAGTTTCCAGGGGGAACCGCGAGGAGGTCGACCTGGTTGGGTATATTGCTAGCAATGGGATTCTTAGTCTCCATTACTAACAATCCCTTTTCCCCCCGCAAATTTGCAGTTAGGTTTGGTTAGGTTAGATACTTTTAGCTGTTATTTTAGTCAAAAATGTTATTGACTAAAGCATAAGGTCAAAAGTACTTTTGACTGATTAAGAGTTGCGACTGCAATAAATATATGTACGTGTTTTTTTTTATACCACTGAGGTGGCAAACAAGCATACGGCCCACCCGACGATAAGTGGTTACCGTAGCCTATGAACACCTCCAATACCAGAAGTATTACGTGTGCGTTGCCGACCCTGAAGAAACCTTTTTACCCCCCTTTTGAAGAACCCCCAGAGAGAGACTTTATACAAAAGTCGATTGCTTGGGTACCTCTGTCCCATTCGTGTTTCAACCGTGAAGCAGTTGCGTTTGCATGGCTGTGTTTCGGTTTGAAGGATGGGATATGGCGTGAATTTACTGGGTACAGAGGAATAACACCTGAGTCCTCAGGAATGACAACGCATAGGGGATATCATGTGCGAAACAGTATACTCTGTTATGTCCATGGTACATGGTCCAGGTGGGCCGTCAGCTTGATTGCCATTCTAAGTTGTATAAAAAAAAGTAGTATAAAATAATTAAATGAAATTAAAGAATAAATAAATAATAATAAATATTTCTTTCTTTTCTTTTTTCAAAATTAAATAAGTCTTTAAAAATCTCCAGGAAAAAATCTGTTTAAAAATTGTCACAATATTGTACACCGCTCTACTCGCTGACATTGATGCTCTTTTCCGCTTTGGGTTTGCTGGAAGAAAACTCTATTAGAGTTAAGTTCGCCTTTGTATATTTCATAACTTCTGTCATATTCTTTAACCTGATGTTATTGTGTTATTAGTGTTATTGGTCTATTGTACATAAAGAATTAAATAAATAAATAATATAAAAAAAAAATGTAACTCCTGAGTCAAGCGTTACAAATATAAACAACACAATCGCCGGATTCCGTGCGATTAACCAAATAAGATTGTCCTTCAACAAATGACCTTATAACAAGGATATTTCAACGGTCCCTTTTCACGAGACCCCGTTGTTTATTTTATTATCCCCTGGGGAAAATATTATCTTCATTCCTTGTTTAATTTCTTATTCACATACAATGGAATATGGGTCAAGTTTGCATCGCATTCAACTGGTGACCTCAGCGGTCGCTTGTAGAAGTGTTTTTTGAGATTTTAAAAGAAATAATTTTAATTAAGGGAATTATATGAAGAAGCAATATTGAATCTGTGATATTTATACTGTGTTTAAATTCGTTATTGAATTTAAAGTTTTACATACATGTAAAATGAATTAGGAATAATTTTTTTTCACTGACAATGAATATTAAAATATATTTTTCTGATTTACATATCTCCTTTTCTATATTACATAGACTTTTTTTAATTGAATATATTGAGAATTTAACTTATGAATAAGGATTGTGTCCCACAGAAATACCGATTTAAATTGTAAGAAAATCAGTTATTTTCGTAAAAAAAATAAACTACTTAACCCATTTTGATAAGACTTTGACCAGAGGGAGACTTTGTACAAAAGTCGATTGCTTGGGTACCTCTGACCCATTCGTGTTTCAACCGTGAAGCAGCTGTGTTTGCATGGCTGTGTTTCGGTTTGAAGGGTAGGATATGGCGTGAATTTACTCGGTACAGAGGAATAACACCTGAGTCCTCAGGAATGGCAACGAATGGGGGGGTATCATGGGGTAAACAGTATAGTCTGTTATGTCCATGGTACTGCTCATGTCTATAGGCGACGGTTACCACTTTCCATCAGGTGGGTCGTCAGCTTGTTTGCCATTTTAAGTTGTATAAAAAAAATTCTATGGCACTAATCTCTAAGTATATCTATTTAGATAAAAAAGAATTTTCCAAATCAGTTTACAACTGGTGAAGTTATAGAATAGAATAAAATAAAGGAATAAAGGTAAAAAAATATAAAAAAAGAAAAGTCAAATTGCGAAATTTTAAAATTTTTCTTTTCGGTTGAAAATAAATACTTTTTAATTTCCTCGTATTCAGAAATTCAAAATTAGAATATTTTTTATCTCCTTTTGTTTAGTTAGATAAAAGATGTTTGAGGTTATCTTATCTTTGATTCGCTTTTGGGGTCAGCCTACAAACTGACGCACGGTGCTCCATCGGGATCTTTTGTGCTTCCCTCTGACTTGTACAATCATTTTAGAGATCCTATGCATTAACCCTACGACATCCCGCGGTTTATGTTGAAAGTTAAACGTCGTAAATTGCTTTGTCCTATTTCACGAGAACATAACCAAGATAAAGCCATATATGTAGATGCTGGAAAGTTAAAATGTTTTAAGCGTTATTTAGGTCGTTGTCCTATTAATACTCGTATCATAAATGCGAAGGTTTGTAACGATGGGTGGATGTTTGTTAGTCTTTCATGCAAAAACTAATCAACGGATTTAAATGAAATTTGGTACACGAGTAGGTTGTCAACTAACTCAACATATGGGATACTTTATATCAGTGGCGTAACTATACCATTTGGGGCCTGTGGCAAATTCCTTTGATGGGGTCCTATCATTTATTTTCAAATCAAATAAAATACTCAAGTACAAGGTTCGTCTCCTGAGCCGGGGCCCTTTTGGGTCGGGGGCCCGTGGCATTTTGCCAGCCCTGCCATCCTATTGTTATGCCACTGCTTTATATAAAGATGCACGCTGAAGGAATATATGTTTTTCAAACTAGTCCACGTCTAAATATAATATTAGAAAAAGAGTTTTTTTTAATAAAAAAAAATGTAGATCCAACTTTCCATCCATAATACGACTAGCTGATCCGGTAAATGTTGTTTTGTCATATAAATTATTTTTAGGGGAAAATTGTTTGGAGGAGGCCATCTTTTCACTTAGGGGTATAAAAATAGATAACAATGTTATCTCAGACTACCGAGTGTACATATAAAATTTCGTCAATATCGGTCAAGCCGTTCCGGAGAAGTATGGCAACTAACACTGTGACACGCGAATTTTATATATAGATATTAATTGGATTGTTACAACCACAATAAATAAGTCTACAGGCTTTAACATTTTGACTACCTTTTAGTTTGAAAGGGATAGTTGCGGGTAGAACTAAATAAAAATATGCCTAATGTATTTAATTAATATACTTTTATATAGTTAAAATAAAGTATTATTATTATTATTAAAAAAAAGTACTCACGTTTGCCACATTTATCGACGTGGTTGCTGACCGGCACGTCTGGGTGGCACTTGCAGATCTTATGCACCTCGTCGCATACAGAATCCGTGAAGTTGCAATCCACCGCCGTGGAGCACGTATCACCATAACGACCGCGTGAGTTCTTATCTGAAAAAAGTCGTATTGTCACTTAAGACTTTGGTCTACATATATACATATATATATATATATATATATATATATTATATTTATCTTTTGTATCTATTGTATCTATATTCAGTTACTAATAATGAATTCAGTTACTACTGTTTTTACCCGAAGATATGCAAACACCATCTGTTACCTATAACGGTACCGTGAATACTTAATTCAGTGGGCCAAGGCGCGCATTCAGGCTCGCGTTCGTATCACAGCCGCTCATGATTTAAAGTCCTAAATTAGTCCCGAAACTAAACGAACTTTCTTTACCCAATTACATGGAAGTTATTATTTATAGTTTATTATTTGTCATATTATTTATGTACCATTTATATTAATTTACATATAAATCAGGATTCAGAATCTTATTTGCGCAAAACAAGGAAGTATGAAGCCAACACAAGAAGTGATAATAAAAATATAGCACAGGACGTACCACGAAATTATGTCGTTTCTGTCTATGAAATTGTGTCGTTTCTTTATAAAAAAAAATAACATTTTTAATATGAGAACACTGTCTTAAATTAATATTAATCAGCTAGTTTTTTATGGATGAAAATGGAATTTTAATCCCACCTGAGCTATCGGTATAGGACATAAGTAAGAAATAAGTCAGGTCATTGAACCTTACGTGATAAATTCCACGATGGTTACCAGAAGCAACCATTTGGAGTTCGAACTAATAGGATATTTTGCTAGCAATACAGTTGTTAGATTACAAACAATTCCTTTCCCCTAATGATTAAATAGGCTGTTAGTTCTTTTACCATTTCATTTGTTGGCACAAGAATACTGTAGGTTTTGCATAAGAATACTACCCACATTACAAATATTTGCATACAAATTTATGGCATAATGTAATATTATCATCGTATAGTTATAATGAAACAAAGTGACTTTTCTTGTCCCCTAATGTTTACGGCAACATTTACAAATGTCTCCAGTGACAATATCAATTCCCCCTAAACGAGTATATACTCAAAAAAGTGTTTGTAAACAAAAACTAAGTAAATTATCAGCTTAATACATACATATATACATACATATCTGTCACGCCTGTCTCCCATTAAGGTAGGCAGAAACAATGGAACGCCAAATGCTTCGATTCAAACAAACCTCTTTCGCTTCTTCCACATTCATCAATCTTTTTATACACGCTCGCCGGTTACGGGTACTTTTAATTTGGCCCTTCTTCAGCACGTCGCCTACTTGGTCAACATACGTCCGTCTAGGGCGGCCCCTACCGACATCTCCATTCATTCTTGCTCGATAAATCTCTTTCGTAATTCTTCTTTCATCCATCCTCTCCAAATGACCAAACCAACGTAACATTCCTTCCCATTCTTTTCTTATCAGCTTATTCTAAACAGAATTATTGAAATTAAGTTTTGATGTTATTTATTTAGGACTTTTTAATAGTTTCTGTCACTGTACAATAAAGTTGATTTTACTCAGCAATATTAAACAATTTCAAACACAATATAACGCCGAGGAGCAATAAAATAATGAGTAAATTCGTGCAACTTAGAATGGCAAACAAGCTGACGACCCACCTGATGGAAAGTGGTAACTGTCGTTTATAGACATGAACAGTACCATATTATGAACTACCATGCCGTATTTTGGTAGTCGCTTAAAAATACAAGTAATATTATTATTGTCGACCACACATTTTCATTTCTCCAACCGATATTTGTCAAAATTATAACAACTCAGTACATATTATTCGCTAATAAAATCAGTATAAAGACATGACCACCGCTAAGTACTGAGATGCCCATAAACCTACACAATTAATTCGTAAAACAATAATTTTTCTATTCCTTCATTATTTTTCCAATGCAATAGAGTTCATAATGGCATAAAAATTAATTAGACAAACGGAAACCTGGATTGGTTATTAGTGAATAAGACTATAACTGATGATAAAGTATTGACCGATGGACATAGAACACTTAAAGGCCATATAAAAAGGATAACGGACATGCCAATCTGGCCACAAGGTAATACAATATTCGTTAATGAATTAGCTACTTTATCCTCTTTACCTGTGTAATCAATAAAATTCTAAAGGAAATAAGGGTAAGAATAGCTTGACCTGGTTATGTATATTAAATGAAGGTACGCAAATTAAGTTATCAAAATTTCTATTAAATAAATTAAATTTTCTAAGATAGAAAATCGTGACAATAGCGAAATAGTATATATAGTAGTATATAGTATATTGTTATTAATGGGATCTAACAACTCCATTGCTAGCAGTATACTCTATCAGGTCGACTTCCACGCTGTTCCCCCTGGAAACATCGTGGTTAATCCCTGCAATGCTGACTGACTGAGTGCAGGTGGGATTACCATTCTATTTTCACCCATTAAAAAAACTTGCCCGTGCTAACGGTATACAGGTACCCTGGTAACCCTACCAGGGTACTTGTATACCGTTGAGAAACCAGTGAGAAATTAAAGGTGAGGATTAAAGCAGGTCAGTTAAAATCACTGCAATAAACAGGGATATAAAGTAAGTATTCCCTGTTCCTGAAAATGTGGTTTACAACTATCACGTTTATCTATCTTAACTAATATACGAAGTAATTTTTTTTTTAATAGTAAAATGAATGGGTGCGTCAGATAAATTAAACAACGACAACAGGGTCTTCTCTTTACCCGCCAGATGAAGTGTGGGCGGGCGAGGTAGGGGCCTCGGGGCATACCCCATTACCCCGGCTACTCCGGAGGCGACTACCTCCGGATCGCTGGGTTTGCAGCCGACATACACTGTTGGTCTGTGTATGCCGGCGTGGTTTGATAAATTAAAATAAATAAGGAAAGAGAAGAATTCATGCGCCACTTTAACTTAAATAAGTTGAATGTTGTTCTTATTCAATCTATGTTAGCTGAACTTAAACCAGAAATTTTTTAACATCTCTGTAAATTATTGATGCCCATTAATTCTTCTCTTTCCGCGTCTAGGGAAAGTAGATAAAGTTTTGTTTGAGAAATCAGTTCAGGGTACAATAGGACTGATGAAGAAGAAGTATATCAGTCCTTAAAATAATATTAAAAAAATAATAAATAAATAAATTAAACTTACTGGACGCTGTGTCGTACTGTGCGAAGCAGAGCGGTGGAAGCGCAAGCGCGATGAGGGTCGCGAGCGCGGCGAGCGAGGCCGCGGCCCGCTTAGAGCGCTCGCCTCGCATGCCGCTCACTTCGCCCGCGTCACATGCCAATAAAACGCCTGCAAAGAGATAAAAATCAGTTTTACTAATAAATATACTTAAGTTTATTTCTTTTTTATCCGATCGAATTCTGTCTACTAAAAATGGTGCGGGCAATAAAAAGAAAACTGTTTACGCTATCTTACCATTGGGACTTCTTGTAATAAAATACATTCATGTTATTGTAACTAATTCATAAAATTATCCGTGTCCATTTATATTTATAAAAAAAACTGACGAATCTCCCCGGCTTTGAATATTTTTTATTTTAAATAAAATACTACCCATTTTGGTGTCGTAAGAGGCGCTGAAAGAGAGCAACGGATGGGTAGCAGCGTCCCTCTTAAATATCTCCAAAGCTGTAAAGCAGTTGTATTTGCATGGCTGTGTTTCGGTTTGAAGGGTGGTATATGGCGTGAATTTACACAGTACAGAAGAATAACAACTGAGTCCTCAGAAATGTCAACGCATGGGAGGTATCATGGGTGAAACAGTATACTCTGTTATGTCCATGGTACTGCTCATGGCCGTCAGCTTGTTTCTCATTCTAAGTTGTATAAAAACAAATAGGGAAATGACTTTGTTTTTATTATTTTTATTGATTACTAATTAGTAAAATCATTCGAATATGAAGATTAGTATATTACTAACTTAGTAGTCGAATTACCTATATTTAGTTTGTCCATTACAGACAAATAAATCTAATCTTACCACTGTATAATATTAGTTTACTTATTTAACTAGTTTACTCCTCTCCATCCAAAGGTTGCCTGGAAGAGATCGCTCTTAGCGATAAGGTCACCCATTATTTTCTCATTGTGATTATTTCTTATAATTATTTATATTTATAATAAGTTTACTATTGTAATCTTTTGGAGGAAACAATAAAGAGTATCTATCTATCTATCTATAATATTAGTTAAGATACAGTCTTCACTCCAGATAACCCAGCCTCGTTTTCCACAAAGCGGTATGTATAGACTATTCAGTAGAACGTTAGCTCGGCTTTTGAAGCGAGTTTATGAATGGGCTTGTAAGCGCTCCAAACGGATACACAACATTACAATATTGACACGAATAAAGGAGTGTATTTAGATACGTTTAAAGAATCTTATCTGATGAGACACAGCAGATTGTCTAATATACAGGCAGTCCTCGACTTAAGTCGTTTTTGTTGATTTTTTTATACAACTTAGAATGGCAAACAAGCTGACGGCCTACCTAATGAAAAGCAGTAACCGTCGCCTATAGACATGAGCAGTACTATAACAAAGTATACTGTTTCGCCCATGCGGTGCCATTCCTGAGGACTCAGGTGTTATTCCTCTGTACCCTGTAAATTCACGCCATATCCCACCCTTCAAACCGAAACACAGCCATGCAAACACAACTGCTTCACGGTAGAAATCACGAATAGGGCAGAGGTACCCTAGCAATCGACTTTTGTACAAAGTCTCCCTCTTGTAGTTACGTTACGTCGAACAATGTTTTGACATTCCTCAAGCATACGTCAATTGTTTCGATTTACGACTTAAGAGAATTCACTGCACTTCATATATAATTATTTTAAGAACTTACTTTTAATAATAAATGATGTGTCTCGACTTACGTCGTTTCGATTTACGTCGCGTATTTCGAGAATCTAACACGCCGTAAGTACGAGGTCTGCCTGTATATCTAAAAGGAAATTTTAAGAGCACAATGGTGAAATGGAAATCCTATTCGGATTTTAGCTGTAGCAGATCGGTACGATCAAAGCAGAGTCGACTCGATCTTTTTTTTAATGGTCAAGAGTGTCTATGTATCTATAGACACTCTTTATTATTTTCTCCAAAAGTTTACAGTAATAAACTTATTATAGATACGAGTACAAACAATATTGATTTTAAAAAATATAATATGAATACAACTATTGTTTTTAATTTTCTTTCATTTTTTCAATAAAGTTCAATTGTTTTTCTGTCTACGCATCTAATTTTACTAAAATTAAAAACTTTCGAATTTACAAGCTCAAATGTTTTATCATAATGAAAGTTCATATTATTTTTATTTTGTTTAAATATAACACCTTCAATCCATCAGGCAAAGATTGATGAGAAGGTCGGAGAAGGGTCACAGAGATAAATGAACCGTGAACCACATCTTAGGTTATCGTTTTAGTGCGATCTGTTTAAAATAACTAACTATTCACCCGTTTACTGAAAACAGATATAAATTAGAGGTACCATGAGTACGAGGTTTGTCCGGAAAGTACGTATAAAAGTTTTTTAAAAATTTTATTTTACAATTATTCAGGTAAATCAATTTTATCCCCTTCAAAGTACTCCCCCTGTGACATAATGCACTTGTGCCAACGCCGTTTCCACTGTGAGAAGGCTCCTTGAAAGTCCTCTGGTTGTAGGTTTCTCAGCTGCCCCGTCGTAGCTTTTTTTATCTCATTTATGTCCCCCAAATGCCGCCCCCGAAGTACCAATTTGGTTTTTGGGAACAAGAAGAAGTCACACGGGGCCAAATCCGGCGAATAGGGGGGGTGTTCGGTCACCGTAATGGAATTTTTACTCAAAAACTCTCGGAACGATCTTGGCGCAAATTTTTTTCATTTGAAGTTCGTTTCTTAGAATTTCGTGGACCACGGTTTTGCCCAAATTAAGCTCTTCAGCCACCTGTCTGACCGTTAAACGACGGTCCCCATTAACACAAGTTCGAATTCTTTCCACGTTTTCGTCGGAATGTGAAGTGGAAGGACGTCCTGAACGTGGGTCATCTTGAACGCTTTCTCGGCCCTCTCTGAATCTTTTTAGCCACTTGTGGACGGTTGGTTCCTTCACAGCATCATCCCCATAAACTGTTCTGAGATCGGCAAAAATTTCACGGCCATTCTTGCCGAGTTTCGAGAGAAACTTGATTACGACGCGCTGCTCTTCAACGGAAGCGGGCTCCATGCCGACGGGGTTTCGTTAAGAGGTAACTTCACAGATGGCGTGACAAGCCAGTTCGCACCGCACGGCGGTCAGACCAGAACTGAAGCATTGTTAGGGACATAAGGAAGGGGTCCTGCGCTTACCTGGCCTCCCCACTCCTCTTTCTCGCATTCCAGAACACTTTTATACGAACTTTCCGGACAGACCTCGTATTACTTTCTTTTTTATTGTCTATGGTTCCGTTCTAGTCTGTCTCTTTTTTTTTTTAATAATACCCTACTAATATTACGTATAAATATGACAGTTTTTAAAGATGTTTGTTACTTCAATCGTGATAATCGACTGAACAGGTTTGAATTAAATTTGGTTCGAAGGTAGATTATTTTCTAATTTAACATGTAGGATATTTTATACGATAATCAGTTAGTCAGTAGAGGCAAAGGCAAAAGCATTCTAATATTTGCCACAACAGTAGGCATGCACATTTTTATTAATATATAAAATAACAAAAAAATATATTTAAAAAGTAACTGATATTAGTGTTGAATTCCGATAATATAATAAGCATGCAATTAATTAATTTCAACCAACTATTTTCATTTTAATTTAAATACAAAATATGTCACCGCTCAACGATTGTCTGTAGTCGACTTAATTACGACATGATTTATTTTTTTACTTCCTCTTTATTGCACCATTTATAAAAATAATAATACAGTTTACTTTAATAAGAAGCGATACAAAAGGCAGCAGTTTATTTTAGACAGCCTTTGGGTAGAGAGGGGAAAGGGATTGTTAGTAATGGAGACTGAGAATCCCATTTTTTTTTTTTTTTTATTTTTATTTTTTTTTTTTTTTATTTTTATACAACTTAGAATGGTAAACAAGCTGACGGCCCACCTGATGGAAAGTGGTAACCGTCGCCTATAGACATGAGCAGTACCATGGACATAACAAATTATACTGTTTCGCCCGTGATACCCCCCCATGCGTTGCCATTCCTAAGGACTCAGGTGTTATTCCTCTGTACCCAGTAAATTCACGCCATATCCCACTCTTCAAACCGAAACACAGCCATGCAAACACAACTGCTTCACGGTTGAAACACGCATGGGACAGAGGTACCCAAGCAATCGACTTTTGTACAAAGTCTCCCTCTGGTAAAGTAAAGATAAAAATATACATCACTTTTGAAATTAAACGTTCGTCTAAATTAGAATACAACCATAAAAGCCTGAATTTACAGTGTACAGAGAAATAACACCTGAGTCCTTAGGAACGGCAACGCATGGGGGGTATCATGGGCGAAACAGTACATTCTGTTATATCCATGATACTGCTCATGTCTATAGACGACGGTTACCACTTTCCATCAGGTGGGCCGTCAGCTTATTTGCCATTCTAAGTTGCATAAAAAAAAATTAATTCATGCCTTGCGCCACCTACCCACTTCTATCTGTTTCCCTTTAACTGAAGGTTGTCTGTAAGAGATTGCGCTAGCGATAAGACCGCCTTTTGTACCTTTATGTGTATATTTCAATCTGTATTTATGTTACTGTATTTCACTTGAATTATTCACTTGTCATTGTATATTTTTATTTATGGTGCAATAAAGAGTTAAATAAAATAAAATAATTATATATACCATTTATTAATGATTAACGAGAACAAAGTGGCAAGATACCGTTAGTATATATACTAAACATTAGAATATATTCTAATATCTAGAATTGGGGGGAAAGGGATCGTTAGTAATGGAGACTGAGAATCCCATTGCTAGCAATATACCCAACCAGGTCGACCTCCTCGCGATTCCCACTGGAAACTATCATGATTAATTCCTGATGAATTCATCATGATGGCTACTAACTGGCCTGTTTTTATTCTTACCTATCACCCGTCACTGGTGCTTCGCCAGCGTATCTCGTTAGCGCAGGCGGGGTTACCCATAAAAAAAAAAAAAAAAAAAAAAAAAAAAAAACTAGAATTTTGGGTAAATATAAACACTAAAAAATATGCCATTAAATAATTTTAAGCCGTGTTAAAATCGCATATAACTATTTCCAGTGTTAAACCATTTATCAGATAGGGAATACGGC